CTAACTGTGCTGCCTCCTTCTTCTGACTCGCGTCTTGCGGAATTGGTTCTTGTCCTTCCGACATTTTTTTTTTGATTGGATTGGCAAGAATATGCCGTAGAATTCAAATGTTAGACTTAGTTGAGGTCAATACCGTCAACTAAAATCGCCGAAATAGAAATGTGAGACGGTAAAAACAAAGCGAATATGGATGGCAGGAATATGCCGTAGAACTGGGATGGTAGATGGTAGTTGGTAGAATTAATCAATCTCAGAATTAACCAATAAAATTCAAATCGTAGAATTATTTGCTCCCAATACTAAATCGCCGAAGTAGAAATGCGAGACGGTAAAAACAAAGCGAATATGGATGGCAGGACTATGCCGTAGAACTCGGATGGTAGATGGTGGATGGTGGAATTAACCAATAAAATTCAAATCGTAGAATTATTTGTAGTGGAGCCAATATTAGCTGGAGCAAATGCGACGAGAATGGAAATTTATTCGTAATGGAGCCAATATTAATTGGAGCAAATGCGACGAGAATGGAAATTTATTCGTAATGGAGCCAATATTAATTGGAGCAAATGCGACGAGAATGGAAATTTATTCGTAATGGAGCCAATATTAATTGAAGCAAATGCGACGAGAATCGAAATTTATTCGTAATGGAGCCAATATTAATTGGAGCAAATGCGACGAGAATGGAAAAATTATTTGTAGTGGAGCCAATGTTAGCTGGAGCAAATGCGACGAGAATCGAAATTTATTTATCTGTATAAATAATTGCGGAATGGAATTGCCGAGTTGTTTATTATTTTTCGTACTTAATAATAACCCAATAAAAGCAAAGAAAATATATGGAGTACCCTTGATATTTATCGCGTGCAAAACTTTAAAAATTATAAAATGCGCAATTAATTCGTTAATTATTAACAAAAAAAATTATTAATTGTATGGAAAAAGTAATTCGATCGGAATGGTGGGATCGGAACACCTGGCACTTTTTTTCTCAATTCAATGTTCGTTGTAAAGAATGTAAAGCTCTTGGTTATGTATGTATGTATGTATATAGCGCACCAATAAAATTCAGAAAAAAGACGGACACTGGCTTATAAAATTTTGTTTTAATATTTTATTCTTTATTTATTATGGTTTATTTTCTTGGTTCTCTTTATTTTTTTTTATGTTGTATGTAAATGTATGTGGAATGTAGAAAAATATAATATGGAATCATATATATTTGACCTGGAGAAAATATAATATGGAATAATATAATAATATATGTGTATATATTAGCAGCGGACTGTATTCTTTATTATTTGTAATTTTTTGTTATCGGAATCTTAATAATTTTGTCTTTTTATATTGTGTAAAATAAAATCAATGTCTTTATGTAGACAGATGTATGGACATATGTATGTATGAATTTTAATTTTCTGTCGGAACCGTTTTGTACATTGATGTACGGATATATGCCAATATGTAGAGGAAAGCGGACGAAAAAGAATATGGCGACGATCAAAACGGAGACGGATTGAAAATTGCAAAATGTAGGAAACAGAAAAACGAAATGGAAAATTCCTCAACTGCCGTTGTCAGGAAAACTCGCTCTTGGAGTCGACACGGAAATTAATCTTGCAGCAGAGTGACCGAAATTAATTGTTCGGACTACTGCTGAAGACCGGCAGTGAGGGGGCGACGGAATAATTCGTACTTATCTTGGAAAATATAAAACGCCGAGAACTGCTGGTGTGGAAGGAAAAAATCCGGAATCCAAAAATCCAAAAAAATCCGGAAATCCAAAAATCCACAAATCCGGCTCTGGAGGACCAAAATGTTCGGCTCGAGGGGGGAAGACTTCCTTCAATTTCCAGATAGGCACAAAAAACCACTTCCCGCGCCGCAGTCAGTGAAAAGAACACGGGAGTAGAAATATCGAAATCGCGCAAGAGAACAATCACCACCAAATGCAAAGAAAGTAGGCCGGGGGGGGCGTGGTAATTTTCAATATATATAAAATCGTATGATCCGCTTTATTCGAGTTCTAATTAGGAATTAAAATGTACAAGCTGGAGTGGGAGATCAAACTAGCTAGGAGAGCGGGAGCGGCCGCTCAGCGATGCGACGATCGGCCAGAGCCGAAGCATCCGCTAGAAGAGCGGGAGCGAGAGAGCGAGCTGAGGAGCTTTGAAGAAGCGGGAGCGCTTCGGAGTCGCGGGGGCGGGAACATAAGCTCCTGACCTGAACAAGTTGGTAGCCATGTTAAAAACTATTTGATCAGACATAAAGGGTAATCAAATAGATATACGCAACGCCCATTTGGGTATAAAAAACAATCAACGTGAAATCAAGACGCTTACAGATCGTCAATCAAAACAATTTGAGTGTATACGCGATCTTCAGATCGACTCCATGGAAGAGACAAATTTACATACAACTAAGGGCAGTACAAATAATACTTCTCAAGAGCAAGATCGAGAACAAGCCAGCCTTTCGGAAGTCGTCGCGCAACTTAACCAAAACAACGTGCAGTTACATGATTTGCCAAAATTTTCTGGAAATACGGAGGACTGGCCACTCTTTAAAAGAACCTATGACGATTCTACTGAACTCTATCATTACAATAATTTACAGAATCTGACGCGTTTGCTAAATGCCTAGTCGGAGAAGCTAAGGAGACTGTATCATCCCTGCTAATTTACCCAGATAATGTACAGGATGTGAACGAAGAGTTAGAGGTCAGGTTCGGTCGACCAGAGTTACTGATTCGTTCACAATTGTCAAAAATTCGAGATTTCCCGAAGGTCGCATTTAACAAACCCGAGCAGATTGTAACCTTTGCAACAAATGTTCGCGGAGTTGTACATTTTTTGTCAGCGGCCAATCACAAAGAGCACTTAAACAATCCAATCTTATTGGAAGAACTTTTAACCAAAATTCCTACCCATTTGCAGATGGACTGGCTTCAAAGCGCTGAAGGGAGAAATATGTCTCCGTCTATCGCCCAATTTTCTGCATGGTTGAGCTCAATTGCAAGAATCGTCGGTCGATTGCCAGCTGTAGTCGAATCTTCAGGAAAGCAACTCGCCGCCCGAAGTTCAAAACCCATATTTATTGCCAACACACGAGTCACGGAATGCCATGATCTGGAAAACTGCAAAATCTGGAAGGAAGAAAGAGATATAAAATCGCGCTGGAATATTGTCAAAGAAAATCGTTTATGCTTCGCATGTCTAAAACAGGGGCATAATGTTCAGAATTGCAGAGTTAAACAAACTTGCCCGTTTGAAGGTTGTCAATATTCACATCACCGTAGTCTTCACAATGTCCCACAGATTCCAAATTTACCAGCCACAGACCCTAAGCCTTTACTGAATTGCTGTTGCGAAGTTACTAGCTCAAGCCCATACCTGTTTAAGGTCATTCCTGTTATATTATATGGAAACAACGGTAAAATAGAAACTTATGCAATGTTCGATGACGGAAGTTCAGTCACCTTGTTGGAGGAAGGTATTGCTGACCAATTGGGACTAAAAGGTCAAAGTAGTCCATTTACCCTGCAGTGGTACGATAACAGGAAAAGTTAAGAGATGTCTAAAAAGGTCAGATTTGAAATTACTGGCATAAATGATCTTATGCGATACGACCTTAAGAATGTACAAACTGTGAAGAGTCTCGATTTGCCAACTCAGTCGCTTGCAAAGAATCAACATGATCATTTTGCCAATGTACCAATACTGGATTATTGTGACGCTAAACCAGTCTTGCTCATCGGACTTGACAACCTGCATTTGGGTCTGCCAAAGAGGATTGTTGAAAGAGGAAGCTTACAACCAGTAGCTATTGACACAAAGCTAGGATGGCTGGCTTATGGTCCAAATTCAGAGTTTGATAGAGCCAGAGCTTCATTAAAATCCCGTGTGTGTTTCATATCGGATGAAACTAAATGGCAAGATCTGGTGACCGAGTTTGTAGAAGCTGAAAATTTCGGAATGAGTAACTTACCACCCATAGAATCAATTGACAATGCAAGAGCAAAAGAGCTGATGAGGGAAAAAACCGTTCGAATTGGGAAACACTTTGTAATCGGATTACCGTGGAAGGAAAATGTAATATTGCCGGATAGTTACACAATGGCTGAGAAGAGATTGTATGGAATCGAGAAAAAGATGAACGCCAATCAAGAGTTTGCTAAAAAATACAAGACAGAAATGACTAAATACGTCGAGAAAGGTTATGCTCGCGAACTAAGTTACCCGGAAATTAGGGATACGTCCAAATCCGTCTGGTACATCCCACATTTTGCAGTACAATCGGTTCACAAGCCATTTAAGATGCGCATCGTCTTTGACGCTGCTGCTGAAGTCGAAGGTATTTCCCTTAACAAAGCGCTGCTTAAAGGTCCTGATAATCTAAAGCCCCTTATATCAATTCTAATTCAGTTCAGGCAAAATAAAGTCGGTGTAACTGCAGATATTCGGGAGATGTTTTCGCAGATACACGAAAATGAGCAGAGTGCACAGCGGTCTTTGTGGCGAAATGGAGACATAAGTCAGCCAATTAGACACTACGCCATGACGTCTTTAATTTTTGGAGCAATATGTTCGCCATTCTGTGCAAATTATGTCAAGAATCTAAACGCTGAAGAATTTAAAGATCGATTTCCAGGGGCAACGCAAGCGATTATTGAACACCATTACGTAGACGACCTTGTTATGAGTTTTGCATCTGAAGAAGAAGCCATCGATATTTGCCAACAGGTCGTAAGGGTACACGCAGAAGGAGGATTTGAGCTGCGTAATTTCGCTTCAAACTCGGACAAATTGCAGAATGTCATGAATAGTCATCAGGTACCAAAAACTTACAGCCATCTTCAAAGGCAACTCGCAAGCGAAAAGGTTTTAGGCATGTTTTGGAATACACAACTTGATGTTTGAAGTGGAGGGGGCGGAGTGGCCAAAACAAGATCGTCGTCCTTCTTGGAGGTGTGGTCGTCGGAACGTTGGGCTGGAGTTGGGCTGGCTGCTAAGTCCCACAATTTTCCCAATTAGTAGGCGAGAGGGGGGTAGCTTCCTTCAATTCAATTTTATTCGCTTCACTTCAATATTACGACTAACTTAACTATATGGAGAACGGGCTGCAGGGACCGCGGAGTGGTGAGTTCGCTGCTGGAGAATAGCGAAAGAGAGGGAGACGGGAAGAGCGGAGGACACAGTGAGCGGGAGCACAAGCTTGAGCGCAAGCGCTCGCCGCTTACTCTGCCGCTCAGAACTTCACGCCCTTCTGGCGTGAACATTCTCCCCCCCTTGCGCTAGCAAAAGGAACCAGGATCAGCTTTAGTGTTCCAGAACGGCTCCGGAAACGGTCCATCCGAACACGGTGCTCTGAGCGACAGGCAAACCATCCTCGAGTTTCAGGAACCCCGGTTGGATTAGTTTCGCAAACACATCTGCGCCGTAGCGGAGACCTCCGGACGTGGACGCTCAATGGCGACCCGGTTTGGCGACGACGAGCGGGAGACGGACCCGGCGTAACAGCGGGGATGCGACCTGGCGGATTGGTGCGGATTGCGCGACGGGTGGGGTGGAGACGGCTCCTCGTGCATATGAAGCAGGGTGTGGTGGTTCCCTCCACACTTCTTGCAGCCGTCCTGGCTGCGGCAGGTCCCCTCGGAATGTTGGTGGGCGAGGCAATTTGAGCAGTACTTATTAATAAGTACTGCTCGGAGGCGCTTCTCGGCGCTCAGCTTTCGGAACCTCTTGCACTTCCGAAGAGGATGGATTCCCCGGCAGACTCGGCAGCGGTAGGATTGAATACCTCGGGAACGTCTGCTATCCAAGGACTGGGCGGTGCGAGGACGTGGAGCCATTGTATGAAAAAAAACGGGTCCTGCGATAAAAGAAAAAACAAAGTTTTTTAGAAGGGGGAGTACGAACGATCGGACCTTGAAAAGTAAGAAGCCCTAGACCCTGGGAACGAAGGATTCCGTATCCTCCGCAGGGAGAAGTATGACATTATGGAGAGGGCGCTTTATGTGCGGCTCCTTCCAACTTGAATGCGGTCATCGGCTCCTGGAAAGGCAGAAATGATTCTGCCGAGCCGCCATTCGTTCGATCGCCAATTTGGACGTTCCTTGACGGACATTGTCATTGATTGCGTTTGTGGAGTTCCACCGTGCACTAAACTGCTGCGCATTAGTCTTGAGGTGTTGCCATCGACGTAAAATCGACTTGGCTTCGCCCTTGAACTCGGGCTCAGCTTTGGAAAGCAACGGAACGGGACGTTAGAACATCGGCGAGAGGAATCCTCGCCTATTGGATGAACCTGCGTCGTAAAAGATGCGACTCTGTTCGCCTTTACATGGGAGATCGGCCCCGTAAGCACCCATCCGAAAATAGTCTCTTGGCCTAGAAGAGAGCCGCAAATACTTCTTCGGGTGCCATTCAACATTACCGACGGTAGAATGTCGGCACCGATTAGGACGTCCAGTTGCGAACTCTCATAGAACGTCGGGTCTGCCCACTGGAGAGCGGGCAGGTCTCTCAAGGAATTCCGAGAGATTGGATGGGAGGGCAATTTGCCCGCTAATTCCGGAAGGACATAAGCTTCGGTGTCTAATTGGAGACCCGGCTTCGTAGGAGAACGAATTTGGAACTGGCAAATTCGACTTCGCGGAAACCGACTGGTTTAGACCAGAGACTTCGGCCTGGATGTTGCGGAATGGCAACTTCATACGGTTAAAAAGCCGTTCGGAAATGAACGTCGCCTCGGATCCCGAGTCGATTAAAGCTCGTGCTCGGTAGGTCTTGCCCAAATGGCACACGTCGATCATCGCCGTGCCCAGAAGAACGGCTGTAGTGCCAGAGGCGAAATAGTTTTGCACTATTGAAGTGCTTGCGGATGCATTAGGGCTGGAGGGTCTCGACGCTTGTGTAGGATGCGAGGAGCTGGAGGAACTCGAAGATGGTGTAGGATGCGAGGAGCTGGAGGAACTCATATTTTCGGAACTCGCAGTGCGGTGAAGCAGCGTATGATGCCTTCCTCTACACGTGAAACAACTGTGAGTGCTCGTACAGTCACGAAGCTGATGGCCTCGCGCGAAACAGTTGAGACAGAGTTGCTTCCTTTGGATATAGCCGGAACGCGCGTCGACCGACATTTGGAGAAAGCGCGGGCACATCCCTATTGGATGGTTCTCCCTGGAGCATAAGTCGCACCCTCTCTGTTTGGTGCTGACTTTTGTCTCAAAGATTTGGAACTTCTTAGGGACCGCTTGCGTTGGCTTCATATCCTCTATAGCCTCTAGTGTACGATATCGTTCGCTTAGGAAGGTATTCATCTCTTCCCAAGCCGGAATGTCGGATTTCGACGTCAGGGACTGTTCCCATAGAGAAAGGGTAACTTTTGGCAGCTTGCTTGCGCACAGGAACACCAGCAGACAATCCCAGTTGTCCGTGGATATTTGGGAATGTGCTAGCGCTGTCAAACTCCCCTGAATCGTGGACTGCAACTCTTTCAGCGCATGACCAGATTCTTGGGAGATGGAACTCAAGTTGAACAGAAGCTTGAGTTGGCTGTTGACTAGAAGTCGTTTGTTTTGGAAACGGTCTTGAAGCGCTTCCCACGCAGAGGCGAACCCGTCATTTGTGAGCGGGGATTTGGAGACGATGGCTTTCGCCTCGCCGCTCGTCTTCGTGAGAAGATGGAAGAACTTCTCGACCGGTGTCAGCCTGGGGTTGTTGACATAGACTGCCATGAATAGGTCCCGGAAAGTGGGCCATCGAAGGTAGTCCCCGTTGAAGACTTCTGTATCGCAGGGAGGTAAGCGGCAACCGGAGGAAATTATTGGCTGGGAGGGTGGTTGCACGGCTAGAGGCGTGGCACTGTCAATTGTCGCACTGATCTCTGCAGAACATGACTCATACACCGAATAGCAATAGTCATATTTGCTCTGCAGCACGAACACCATTTCGAGGGATCCTTCTTGGGCAATTAGATCGGAGCACGTGTCGTACTCCGTCTCTACCTTGTCCCATAAGGCTCTCACTTGTTGCAGGCGGACTTGTAGCAGATGTAGGGACGGGGAAGCTTGACCTGGAGTATTGATCTTTGCTTCGAAAATACTCACACGATCGCTGGCGGCTATGAATTTGCGCAACTACACGGTTGCGGCCGTTGGCGGTTCGGCCGTTGGCTGTTAGGCCGTTGGTTTTTCAGCGGATGCCATTTTGTGGCTGCTAGCGCGTGTTACCCTCAGGAATTCCGGCTTTGAAACAGAGGGAGCCTCTGACTTTATGGCAAGCGAAGAGTCGCTAGAAGCTTTTGCCACCGGACGAGAGATAACTATTCGTGGAGCGTTTGACGGACTTGTCGATCGACGATCCGTCCCTTTGGAAGTGGAAGCCGAACTTCTGATCCTCGGACTGGAGGGCCTGGGTGCTGAATGGACTCGAACGGGCCGCGGAGAGGATGGCTTCGACTTGGCCGGGGAGGAGATTCCCTTTTTATCTCCCTCTATGGGCATACTCAGCTATGCCCTATGAAAAGAGAAGGCCTGCCCCCGCAAAAAGAAAAGCGAGTGCACGGAAAAATAACTTTAATCCTTAAACACACACAATCTTCCTGAGTACATAATGATCGGCTACCAGCGGACTTCCGTCAGAGTTTATATCCCACTGCCCATGAGATGTAACAATTGTTTCAAATACGGCCATCTCCACAAATTCTGTAAAAATAATAAAATTTGTTACAACTGCGGAGAAGAACACCATATCGACCCGACCTCTAACATCAAATGCAATAGACCGCAAAAATGCATTAACTGCAACATTGAACAACTAGCAAACCCTCACAACTCCACCAGCAAGAAATGTCCCGTATTTCTGAAACAACAAGAACTCCAAGCCATTAAAACTACGAACAGATGTGACAACAAAACGGCAAATACAATCCTCAACGCTCGATTCTCCAAGGAAACTTCACAATTATACTCATCCATCGCCAAGAATTCAAATTCCCAACAATCCATTTCTACAAAACCTCAACAACCCAAAGAACCCAGACTCTCAATCCATGAACAATCTATTCTTGAAAAACTCAACAATTCAACAGGACCTCAACAACTCAAAGGACCCGGAAAAACGCACCAAGAGCTTTCAAATCTTCAAAAATCGAACAATACAACAGGACCTCATCTACTCAAAGGACCCGAACCCGGTAACTCCAATCATGATCAATCCACTTCCAGACCAGCTCCCACATCATATGCGGACCTTTATCCTAGCACCAGGAAAACCTCAACCGACAACAATTCTCCACAAACAACCAAGAACTCCCCAACTAAAACCACCAAAAAACTATCACTAGACATATCAAAACGAATAACTTCCATAAAAAAAGACGCAAAAAAACTCAAAACACTCTTAAACCCTGACACTTCAAGCGATTCAGAGGAGATGGACATTTCGTAATTTACATCCAACTCATTTATCTTTAATTTAATATGTTAAAAATTATCCAATGGAATATCAAAGGTTATAGAAACAACTACCCAGAATTACAAATCCTCATTAATCAATACCACCCACAAATCATAGCACTTCAAGAAACCCACCTTAACAATTTAACTTCATTACCAATCCCCATTAACTTTTCCCTATACTGCAGCAATACCACCAATAGTTTCGGAGGAACAGCCCTCCTAGTACATAACTCTATCTCCCACTCACAAAAAACTCTCAACACGGACTTTGAAGCCGTTGGAATCTCAATTCAAACAAAAACAAATATAGATCTCATATCAGCATACATCTCTCCTTCAAAACAATTTAATCTAAAAAATCTTGAAAATGTTTTAGCCCCATCTACCCCATATGCTATCGTCCTTGGCGACTTCAACAGCTGGCATCCATATTGGGGCTCCCCTAGAGCCAATACCAGAGGCAACACAATAGCTAAATTCATTGACAGAACAGTCTATACCGTACTAAATGACAAATCCCCTACACACTACTCAACACACAACACACTAACTCATATTGACCTCTCTCTTGCCACAGCCAACATATCCCCAGAGATCTCTTGGAAAATCCTAGATGATCTACACGGAAGCGACCACTTCCCTATCCTAATCTCAATATTCCCAAACCCTTCCCCCCCCCAACATTCATATCCAAACCGTCATTCAAACTAAAAAATGCAAACTGGGACCTCTTTAGAGAGCACATTACAAAACTATCCCCACTCAGACGTTCCAGTAACAACACAAACAAAGAAGCAGCTTATATTAAAAAAACACTGATCCAAAGTGCACACCTATCAATACCACAAAACACGACATTCTCTCTCCCGCGTACAGTTCCCTGGTGGAACCAAAACCTAACCCTCTTAAAAAAATTTAAAAACCTCAAATGGAGAAACCTTCGAAACAATATCAATACAGAAAACATGATTGAATATAAAAGAGCTAACGCCATATTCAGGAGGTCAATTAGAGATGCTAAAAAAGCCTCTATTATAAACTTCACTTCCGAAATCCAGCCTAACTCTGATCCTGCAAAAATGTGGGCAAACATTAAACGACTTTGCGGTATCTATCCAACTAAACATATACACAGCATCCGCAACCCCATAACACTAACAACAACAATAGACCCAGCTGAGATAGCTAACACACTTGGAGACCTATGGTCAAAACAGGCAAAAGACTCCAACTTCTCCCCAGAATTCCGCACTAACAAAATGCTTATTACTCCCCACAATACATATGCCCCAACCCCAACAGCCATAGAAATAGAAAAAAACATAAATCTAATAGAACTAAACTCTGCCATTAACTCACTTAAGGGACACACACCAGGACTAGACCGTATTTCTTACTCCATGATTAA